AGGCCTATGACCAAAGATGGACCGAAGAAGGCTAATTAGATAGATAGATTAGATATATACAATCAGAATATTATACTTTTCATTACAATATTATACATTTCAGCAGCATAATGTCAATATTAGTCCCTTAGAAAACAATGACGACTCTCTCATTCAATAGGTTGTTCAATAGATTGGTACTCTCTATTCATGTCAAATAACAGAATTTCTCAAATTTAATAATATCATGGAAACAAATAAATCAACTGAAAAGTGTTACTAAAAACGTATAAAACTTAACAATAACGTCTTCGAAACAATGCAAAATTTATTTGAATTAATTAATAATAATTATTATATAATAATAATTAATTATTTTCTGAAAAAGATCTGTTTGCTATTTTGCTAAATTAGGTGCCAAATACAAATCATCTTAATCATGGTCATTTCAATCAATGATTAAATCTATATATATATATATATATATATATATATATATATATATATATATATATATACATATATATATATATATATATATATATATATATATATACATATATATATATATATATATATATATATATATATATATATATATTATATTAGTATAATGGTAAAGTTAATTGGGTTAGCAGCTGAATAATGAAAGCCAAAGTGTGCTCTTTTCAACGACTTCGCTATATTTCGTTAAATTTCTTTAACATCTTCAGACGAATGCTACAATATGTTACAAAATGGTGAAATTGTGTATTTTACATAAGATGTAGTGAAACACTTACTTGTGTGAGGATGCAGGCAAAAGTGGTATTTGAAAGTTCCATGTTGAAAAACTTTTTTGAAGATTTATAGCAAAAAAATAAGTTGTATGTGTTATATGGTGGCTTGAAAACTCAAACAATACAAGTGCATTTTTGTTATTTTCCTCCAGTGTGATAGTACAATAAATATTAAAAAACATTGAACATTTAAGAAAGAAAACAGTTAAAAACACAACTACATATCACATTGTCATTTTTTGGACCAGTCTATTCACCTATGCACAAGGAGGTGGAAATCTAGTGTGTACCTCAAGGTTAAAGTGTCTTGTCAGCTATCATATTAGTAGATATCAGCCAGAAAACTCAAGCTGTGTTCAGTTCATGTGTAAAGTTACATTTAATTGAAAATTATGTTGTGTTAATTTAAGACAATTAAATTCTGTTGTTAAAAAATATATATAGAATTTATTTATTTCTTTGTGATTATTTCTTTTAAAGTTATTTTAATTATTGTTATTACTCTTAAGAATTTTATTTCCTGGAAAAATGCAACAATTGCAATAATAATGATTAAGTTACTACTTCAATTGGATGGTCAGAAGAGTTTTAATAGACAATATTATACTATTCAGAATATTCCAGTTCGTTGACTTGATTATTTTTTGTTTCCAACTGCAGTAGAAAGGAATAAATTTCACTAAGGTGTTGTATATCTGATTTTGTGTTGATTATATTATCTGTTGTTGCTATGTGGGTCATTTCTAAAAAAAGTCTTCTCTTATAAGCTGTTTCTTTTTCGAGGATTTTGACCTCTGCAAAATTCATTCTGTGGTTCTGGGTGTGAACGTGGTTAGCTAGGGTGCATCTATCTGGGTAAAGTCTACAGTCACTTTTGTGAGTGGTAACACGGTCTTTAAGACGTCTAGAGGTTTGGCCGATATACTTGCCATTGCAGTCCATACAAGGAATACTGTAAACAACATTAGATATTTGGTCATGCGGAGTACGATCTTTCATTTGTGAGAAAATAGAGTTTACTGTTAAAACTGTTTTATTGGCTATTTTGATGTTATCATATGATTTAAAGATTCTAGTTAGTTTTGGTGTTAGTTCCCGTATGTAGGGCAGCACACAACATGTTGGAAGGGTTTGACTGGTAACCGTATTCTGTGAATTTGTACTTGCTATGTTAGAATGTTGGGAGGTAGTTAGATTGATAGATGTTACTGATGTAGTATTATATAAAAGTGTTTTTAAAAGAAGAGGTGGATAGGAATTATCTATAAAGAGATCATAAAGTATTTTGAGATTCTTTTGATGGAATGATATATCTGACTCTATCTATCTGTATTGTACTATCACACTGGAGGAAAATAACAAAAATGCACTTGTATTGTTTGAGTTTTCAAGCCACCATATAACACATACAACTTATTTTTTTGCTATAAAAAAATCTTCAAAAAAGTTTTTCAACATGGAACTTTCAAATACCACTTTTGCCTGCAACCTCACACAAGTAAGTGTTTCACTACATCTTATGTAAAATACACAATTTCACCATTTTGTAACATATTGTAGCATTCGTCTGAAGATGTTAAAGAAATTTAACGAAATATAGCGAAGTCGTTGAAAAGAGCACACTTTGGCTTTCATTATTCGGCTGCTAACCCAATTAACCTTACCATTATACTAATATAATATATATATATATATATATATATATATATATATATATATATATATATATATATATATATATATATATATATATATATATATATATATATAGCATTTTTAAAACGCAACTTGCATTCTATTAGCTTACTTTTAATTTAATATGCAAATTCTAGCAATAGTAAAAAATTCGAGTAAAAAACTTTTATCATATTTTGCATTGATTTTATCATTAACGTTTGTTCCCCTTATTTTGAGGACCTAATTTGATATATCTATTTTGTAACACTAACGTAAAAAAGTTAAATGGATTTTTAAATGTTTCCTATCTTTGCAATTTAACTTCGGGGAAAAGTTCAAAGACGACGAACTAAGAACCGAAACGTAAGAGAAAACTCCATAAAATGATTGACAGTAACACAATTTCTCGACATACTTTCAAGCACTACACTTACCCCCCAAAGAAGAGGCAACAAACTTTCCAGTAAACTTGATAAGCTGGAAAAGCGAATCTCGGCTCTTACATACGAAACAAAGTTATCCAAATATTTGAGAGTAAAGTTGAATCACGGCGCCCTTCTAATATAATTCACTAATACAAATGTTAAATTATTACAAGGTGAATTTGACATGATGATAACGTTATTGAGAACATTGCTTTTGGAATAGTGTCGAGGTCTATAATATTTAATTGGGATTTTGACATGATACTCATACTTACAAGAAAACGACGTTAGAAGAAAGGATAATTTTAATACAGACAGAACAGTCGTAGACGAGAAAACCAAGTTAATTATACAAATATGCTACAACATTATAATTATGTTTTGTTTATATGGGATTACGCCAAAATTGATTAATTTTGACATGCCAGAAGAATACAGTTTTAAAACCATTAGAATTACCAATGTCATTAATACACTACTAAGATTTTGTATAATTTGTAGAGATAACGAAAACTTTAAAATTAGTAATCTCATGTCTTTCTGTTCTTAGTTGAGGTATTCAGCTAGTTTGTCTCCACGCAGTGTACCCTGATGATTGACACTTTATTAATATCGTTTTGAAGCTATTTTCTTGTGACATTTTAAAGTAATTGTTATTTAATTGGGAATAAGCCAATCGAAAACGATTTACGAAGTGGGAATTGAAACGTCAATAAACTTATTTGAACCTTTTAATTGTGGCTTATTATCAAATAAAATAACAATTACGGATTAACTATATAGACCAGCAAAAATTTGACAGCAGACAAAATAATACATACCCCTGCCGACATATATGAAAATATATGATGGAAATAAAGGACAAGCCAACTGTATCTAAGCCTGTCATCTTGACATTAAAATAATAAGTAAAGCAAAACTCTTGTATAATTAAGAATATGTATAATTAAAAATACGATTGCTAAAAAGCTAACCACAGGAACACCTATTGGAAGAAGAAGCAAAGGCCGACCGCGAATTAGGTGGTTAGATGGAGTTGAAACCGACTTACGGATATTAAAAATCAAAAGATGGCAACATGTTGCCAGAAACCGAACCGAATGGCGACGAATCCTAGAGCAGGCCAAGATCCACAGGGGATTGTCAAGACAAAGATGATGATGATAATTAAAAATATTGCGTGGTAACAACATTGGCCTGGTAGTCATAGAAGCCCAAGACAAAAATAAAATTTGGCTTGATTTAAGGCAAAAGGTACTAAATAATAAATCTCATCAGAACAGTTATTCATAGGTGTTCTCAACGTGAAAAATCAATATTTTCTGTCTTTTAAGAAGCAACACTAAAATGGCTTCAATACGGACGCAATAGCGACATCTAATATTAAAATCCATAAAATAGTTTATTTTAGACCTATTAATTCGAAATACGTATCAACAGATACATAGGCGCTTTTTGTGCCTATGTATCAGTTGATATATATGTGTAATATTTGCTATCTTTTTCATTTTATTCGGATATACTTCGTGTGAGTACGAGAAACACAATTCGCTAAGGATTTCTGCTTAGTTGTAAAGACATGTTGTGGAATGCAAATTTTAGATTCCCCATGTCCCTTTTAGCATCTTTTATTAACGTCTGTTTGCTTGCAATTTTTAGAAGGCTCAGATTATAAGCAGAAATCTGAATTGTCTTTCGAAACTATTTTACGGATTTTAGAAAAAATTTACTTAAAATTTCTTGTATTTCTCTTGTTACATGATCACGGTCGGTACTTGCTGAGTCGACCATAAACTGGTTACATTTGATATCTTCATGTAACGTACCAATAAGCACATGAATAATAATCATCCACATGAAGATATTGTTCTCCTTTTCAGCAATATTTTTGAAAAAATTCTTGGACAATGGAATGTTATAACTTATTTATCAGTACATTCGCTACAAATGGGTACAATTATTTGTTAAAAACAATAATAATTCCGCGCGATAAATAAACGAAAATAAAGGCAAAATTAAACTAATTATTTATTTTTTTTGTCTACATAAACAACAAATAGAAATAAAATATATAAATAAATAAAGAAATAAATAAAGCAAATAAACATTGTAAACAATAACACTACAAATTAAAACAACATTATTTATCTTGTGCATAATCCGCTTTAGTCTCGCTGTAACCTCCTTCACTGCCACGTGACTTTCCGGCTTTGTTGGCATATGCAGCGTCATTTCTGTAATGACTAGCATCACCTTTAGCACCTCTATAACCACTAGCTTCGTCAAGGAAACGGCCTTTTTCGCTAAGTCCTTTCGCACCGAATTCTCCTTGTCTAAATCCAGCATCCACAGATTTGCCGTTGATAACAATTCCGGCGTCAGATCCAGCTTTGGCGTTAAAGTTTCCGTATCTAAAAAAAGAAGAAAAAAAATGTGTGTCAATTTCACAAATAATGATATCTTATAATAGTGGTAAGATATTAAACGCGAGAAAAGTAGTTGATAAAAAAAAAAAACAAAATACTGGATACTGTCCAAAAATTTTCGAAATTAATTAATTATCATAAAAAACTAAAATATATTGATCCTTCTGGCTGTAATGCACGTTTACATTTCTTATAAGTAAAGAGTGGATATTGGTTTATTGATCCCACGTAGGTATATATTGGTATAACTTTTATATTATCTATTACTAATATATAAGTCTACCATTCTATCTGTGCGGTTGAGTTTCTTTGGAATTTCTCGATCAAAATGTGAACTATAAACTCTACTGAAACTTATAATTACTTGGGAGTCCAAATAACATCAAAATCAGGGAGTAAGAAATACATTGGCCAAACAAGATCAGCGACTAGACAGCTACACCGACTATTATGGTATCGAGAAATAAACCTAGACTTTATACGGTGAGGATATTGATCTAGACATAATAGATGCAATTGAAGCCAGAAGACTAAACTAGTATGGACACTTGTAGGAAATACCTGAAACTAGATGGCCAAAAAAGATATAAAAATGGAAATGGATGAATGGAAAATATACAATAAGCCGATTGGCTGCATTAAACCCGGTTATAACCACAAACGGTTATAAAAAATGCATACCAATAGTTTAGAGTTATTAAATATAAATAAATCATAGTAGGAAAGAGGCGGGAACAGTGACACACAGGGAACAGTGACACATTTAAAATCCTAGTAGAAAATATGTTAGCAAGTTGGTGATATTGTGGAATTTTACAGTTGGTATAATAAGAATACTACCTACTTGTCTTATAAAAAGTTGACAGAATCTGTTGTGTTTGGAGAAAATCGCATGTTTGTGTTTTGTTAGTGCAGAAGTATTATGTCAAGGGTGTTTTTAGTTGTTTACTACGAGGAAACAAACCTGAATTATTGGATTGTGTTCTGGGTCGTAAAAAAGTCGTATAAAATGTAAGTAATAGCAATAAAATTTCTTTAAAATCTTTGTAGATTAACAAAAAATTTACAAATTTTTGTATAAAACAGCATTGTGGGTACAGTGACACGAATATTGATAGGGAACAGTGACACGATGTGTCACTGTACCCTTCTTGTGAATTTCATAAAATCTTGACAGCAAATGAGTGCTGGAAAATCATATTAGGGTCTAAGAAGCTTTTGTTAATTATGAATTTACATTACAGATGGTACGTCAGAAGAAAACGGATAAGACAGTGGGTAGATTCAATGAAGATTCTATGAAGGAAGCAGTCAATCTAGTTATCAGTGGTATATCAATTCGTCAAGCTGCTAGAGAGAAAAACTTAAGCTTTAAAACCGTAAGCAGATACGTAAAGAAATACAGAGATGATCCCGAATGCCGAATGGCTCCTAACTATAAAATAAACCAAATATTTTCTTTGGAACTAGAGGAAGCTCTCGTTGATTATATCATAACGTGTTCAAAAATGTTTTACAGTTTAACAATTACCGATTGTCGCAAACTTTCATATGACTTAGCGAAAGCAAATAAATTAAAAATTCCAAAAAATTGGGAGGAGGAAAAAAAGCTTCAGTCAACTGGTATAAAGGATTTCGCCATAGACATCGTACAATATCCTTAAGAACTCCAGGGGATGTAGTCTAGCAAGAGCAGCAGGATTCAATAAAGAAAATGTAAACTTATTTTTTAATAAGTTGGAAATAGTTTTGCAGCGACATCCAAATTTTTCAAATGGATTCAGAATTTACAATTTAGACGAAACCGGAACTTTGACAGTTCAAAACAATTCGACAAAGGTGCTAGCCAAAAAAGGCACTAGACAAGTGTCTAAAATTCAAAGCAGTGAAAGAGGTACACTGGTTACCACATGCTGCATTGTAAGTGCAAATGGAAGTGCAATCCCACCCGTAATGGTATTTCCGAGAGTCCATTTTAAAAGCCATATGTTGGCAGGAGCGCCATGTGGGACGTTAGGCTTGGCTACGAAAGCAGGATGGATGAACACAGAATGTTTTATTGAAGTTTTAAAACATTTCATTAAACATACTTATAGTTCAAAAGCTAACCCTTCACTATAATCATGGACAACCATGAGAGCCATATATCTCTTGAAGCTATCATTCTGTGCAAAGATAATGGGGTCACTGTTTTGACTGTGCCTCTTCATTGCACCCATCGATTGCAACCATTAGATGTGGGTCTGCTAAAACCGTTTCATATATTTTACAACGATGCTTTAAGTTCGTGGGAAAAAGCTAATCCGGGCACACCTGTGACAATCTACCATGTAGTATCATTTGTGGGACTCGCTTACCCCAGATCTATGACACCTGTAAATATATCGGCAGCTTTTAAAAAAACTGGAATATTTCCCTTTGACCGTCACGTATTTAATGATGATGATTATTTCGCAAGCCAAGTTACAGAACGACCATTAGTTAATTCACCAAATATTAATCCAAAACCATCTACCTCGACAGGAGGTACCACAGATAACTCTATCAAGAACCAGGACGTAACTCCATTACAGAAATTGTCACCTTCATCCACAAGTGGAAAAAAATTGACATTTGTAAGTCCATCAGCTATTCGTGAATATCCAAAAAAAAGTCTGACAATTTCGGTTAAAACTAGAAGAAAAAAAGGCAAGACTATGATTGCTACTGACACTCCAGAGAAAAACGAAATTGAAAGTAATAGAGCCAAAAAAGCGAAAACAGTTAAAAGAAGCATAATCTCAGAAGATATTAAAAACAATGATGATGTTATTGAGTCGAAAGACGAAGATGGTAAAACTTATAGTCTCCATAATTCTGACACGTCAGAGGGAAGTGAAATATTTTCAGATAGTGATGATGAAGACCTATGTGATTTGACATTAGATCCAGCCAAAATTTGCGACATTAAGATCAATGATTTCTTATTAGTGAGACTCAAATATGAAGCCCATTCCAATAAAGAAATCGAAAAATATTATATTGGGAAAGTTGTGGTGATAAACACCATTGGTACGATGGAAGTCAGTTTTTTACGTAAAAATTCAAAAAATGTCACATGCTTTGTGTTTCCATGTGTCACAGACATTGGTGTTATATTCAACAACCAGATTATAAAAATTTTGGACCATCCAAAAATTAGCAGGGGTCGACACTTTTTTCCTAATGTTAAAACGGACTTGATTTCATAGAAAACAACAAGCATTTATAATATTTTTCTATCGATCAATAATAAAGATACGTTTTTATTGTTTAATTAGTCCTAAATAATAATACTTACATATTACAGTTGAAAAATGTCTTTGTGTCAGTGTACCCTTCATACCAGGGAACACTAACACAATGCAAAGTTTCAGACTTTTTTTAAATCTATTTGTTTTCTTAATTTATAGCAATGTAGTCATTCATGATGTATTTGCAACACAATAACACGTCCAAATTGATATTTGCAAGTAAAATCCTATTAATGGTCTAGCGATGACAGAAATTCAAATTTTTCTGTGTCACTGTACCCACCTCTCCCCTAAACACATGGCTAAGTTTTGGTAGTTAATTTTTGCAACTGCCAACTTTACTTCTTATTGAAAAATTTGTATTACTTCAGTTTTTTATTCTACACCAACTTAATTATAATGGCTCATATAATATATTATATATCGTCTGATTTCCTAAAGTCTTATCAGTTTGGTTATGAATCAATGTAATACTATGTATCCATCACATCATTTATCCATCCGTCCACCCGATTCATTCGTGGCGGATTACAAATCATACCCCAGATCCAATTTGGATTTTATAGTAACCCGTTTAAAAAAAGTCAAGCGGGAGTTAACGTTGATTTTTGTTAATTAAGTTGTATAATAGTGTCGTACTAGGGTTACTATGGTATACTAGGTATACTAGAGTCATTAAAAACTAATTTTTAAGGAATTACTGAAGAAATAAATCGAAGGTAGGTAATTTAAAAAAATATATAGCTACAATAACAGATATCAACACTGCCTTGGGTGATTGCGGGGTGGATTGAGTAGCTCTGCGGTTACCACAGCCGGTACCAAGCCCGGATAAAATATGGAGGGTGATTGGCAAGGTTAGCAACCTACCAATAGTAATATCAAATACTGCTCAAAGAAACAATGTACAGCCTCGGAACCGGATTGATACTATGAATACGACTACGGCAAGAAATAAGGACAAACTAAAAATATTTAAAATCCAGTTCAACTCAAGGGGACAAGAAATATCCTAAGTGCTAAAAGAAAAAGAAATAGACATTTGTGCTCTAGAGGAAACAAAAAAGAAAGGAAAAGGTCAATCTAGAGTGGAGTAGCAAAAGAAAACAGGGCCAAATAAGGTGTAGCCTTACTAATGCACCAAAATCACATCAAAGATTGTCAATACATATCAGAAAGAATAATAACAGCAAAGATAATAATGGAGAAGGAAGACCTGAACATCATCGGAGTATACGGCCCAGAAAATAACAAGCCTCAAAAAAACGGGAAGCGTTTTACGACCAATTACAACAAGTAGTAGATCAACTCAGAGCAAAGATGATAATATTGGGGATTTTAACGCTCGAATAGGCAATCAAGTATTACCCGACATTAAACAAAAACATAACGAGAATGTTAAGAACGAAAATGAAGAACTGATGATCAACTTATATATGAACAAGACGGAATACTTATATATGAAAATAATATCAGAAAAGATCGCTGAGAATTAAACATTAGAAAATGATAACATCGAGGAAAGCTGAAAAAAACTCAAAAATAACATAAATAACGCAGCAACAGAACCACTTCGAGAGAGAAAAGTAACGAACACTAAGATATCAAAAAAGAAAACATGGTTTAAAGAGGAAGTGAAGACAAAATGTGAAGAACAGAAGAAAGGCTTTTTATAAATATAGAACACAACAGTCACAACAGGGATACAACCAC